CCACTATTACTACTACTACGACGAGTACTACTACTCATACTAATACTAATACTTATACTTCTTCTACTACTACTACGACTACTACTACTACTACTACTATAACTATCTACTACTACTACTATTACTATTACTACTACGACTACTACGACGACTACTATTACTACTACTACTACTACTACTACTACTACTACTACTACTACTACCATAACTACGGCTACGACTATGACTACGATTACGACTACGACTACGACTACGACTATTACAATTACTACGGCTACGACTACGACTACTACTACCATCGTGACGCCTTTCTCTCCCCGAGGTGAGCCAGCGGTTTCGAGACCCCCCGAGGAAACCATCCCATCTTTACCTCCGTACATACGAAATGTTGGCTATATATATATATATATATATATATATATATATTATATATATATATATATGTATCGGCTTAGGCCTCGGGCGGGCCCATAACCAGGACCCCGGGCACACACGACCGGATGGCGGCTCCAGGGGCCCGCTCGGGATGCCCCAAGTCGCCTCGTGGTCGCGCGGAGAACCCACCTATTGGTATGACAGTCTGCCAGACCGGGTCTAGCACACCCCGAAACGGCCGAAAATGCATTCTGCACGGCCTCAGAAGGCTTCCATTCTTTGCCGTGGGCGCTGGAGGCCCCAGACGAGGACCCCGAAAGGCAACAATCATGGATTTCGTGTATGTTTTTCAATGTTTTCGGTGTTCTCTCTTTGTCGACGTTCTCACACTCCACGACGGCCCTCGAGGCTTCCGACACCGCATCAGGACGCGCCCAGCCCCCAGGAAGGCCCTGGGACGGCCTAGCAGGGCTCCATGACGTAGGCCAGGGCGCCCGAGACGGCCCACGAGGCCGTCAAGACGGCCCCAAGATGGCCTCCCGAGGGGGATCGTGAAGTGAAATTTTAACTCTTCCACCTCAGGGAGCTCCCCAGAGGCCTCTAAAAGGCGCCAGGACGGCCCCAGAAAGGCTCCAGAGGGCGTCCAGGGCCCTGAGAAATTACAACAATTGCTCTCGCTCGGATTTTTCCATGTTTTCGGTGCCACCACGTTCACCCCATCCTGACACCCCAGGACGGCGCACAAGGCCTCTGACACCGCCTCAGGACGGGCCCTGCGGACCCCCAGAAGGCCCCGGAACAGCCTAGCCGGGCCCCATGACGCCCCGTGAGGCGCCCGACGGCCCACGAGGCTCTCAAGACGGTTCCGAAATGACCTCCCGAGGAACGGCATGGACAGATGTCGACTTTCCGCCTCGGGCAGGCTCCAGAGGGCACCCGAGGCCCCAGACGAGTGCCCCGAGAAGCAACAATTTTTGATTTCGCTATGGTTTCTCATTGCTTTTGGGCTCCTCGATTGTATAAGCTTCCGATGCTCTACGACGGCCCCGGAGGCCTCCAACACCGCCTCAGGACGGGCCCAGGGGGTCCTCGGAACTGCCTATCAGGGTTCCTTGGCGGCCCCAGGGGCGCTCGAGATTCGGAGGCTCTGGACACGGCCCCAAACAAGTTTCCGGAGGGGGAGCATGGACCGAAGTTTCGAATCTTTCGCCCCCAGAGGCTGCCACGGGGCTCTGAGAGGACCACCAGAGGTCCCCACGACGTTCCACAAGGCCTCCCAGGGACCCCCGCCCGGCCTCCGTCGCCTCCCCACCGAGTTCAAACCGCGGCCCCAAGAGGCCACACAACGGCCCCCATGCGGCCCCACAACATCATGTTCCCGGAGAGCTTTTGGGGAACATGATCACCCCGCCACTCCAGCACCGAAGCTAAAGACGAGGAGGCCGAAGCTTTCGCCCCCAAAGACCACAAGAGGTCCCCACGACGCTCCAAAAGGCCCCAGGGGTCCCCGCCCGGCCTCCGCCGCTTTCCCACCGAGTTCAAACCGCGGCCCCAAGAGGCCACACAACGGCCCCCGCGGCCCCACTCCATCATGTTCCCGGAGAGCCTTCTGGGAACATGATCGCTCCCTCCACTCCGGCACCCTAGGGGCCCCCGCCCGGCTTCTGCCGTTTTCCCACCGAATCCAAACCTCAGCCCCAAGAGGCTACACAACGGCCCCACACCATCATGTTCCCGGGGAGCCTTCTGGCTGGGATCATGGTCGTCCCCGCCATTCCAACACGGAGGCTCTTCGGCCAAACACCGGCCCCTACACAGCCTCCGCGAGGCCTCCTCCTCGTAGGTCCTTTGATCGGACACGACGACGGCGGCGGCGGTGACGAGGACGGCGACGACGACGACGCCGACAACAACGGCGACGGCGACGACGACGAGCAAACGCCGAGTCACGTTGGGCTCAGACCACACACCATGTTCTTGGGGACCTTTCCAGGAATACGATTATCACAGCCAGCCGGCAAGGAGGCAGAAGATGAGGCGGACGGTTTGCGCCTTCTTACCGGACACCCCCACTCAGCGCTGCGCCTTGCTGTGGCCTTTCCAGCCCCTGTCGTTCCTGAGTCGAAGCCATGCGTCTCCCCCATCTCCTTGCTCAGCTCCACCACCAATTCTATCATTGCAAGTGTTTGTTTACACTGGCCCGTCCTTCGGGCGTTGCAGCGTTATTTGGACAACTATGATTCCGAGGGCACCCCATGCGGTTCCACACCATCATGTTCCCGGAGAGCCTCCTGGGAACATGATCGCCCCCGCCATTCCAGCACAGAGGCTAAATACGAAAAGGCCACGCCCCGGCTCCTGCAAAGCCTCCGCGAGGCCTCCTCCTTGTAGGTCCCCTGATCGGACACGACGACGGCGGCAGCGGCGACGACAACGACGCCGACGACGATGGCGACGACGACGACGACGCCGACCACAACGACGACGACGACGCCGACGACGACGACGACCACAACGACGACGACGCCGACGACGACCACGCCAACGACGACGCCGACGACGACGACGACCACAACGACGACGACGACGACGCCACGACGACGACGAGGACAACGACGACGAGCCCTGGCCGAGTCACGTTGAACTCTGACCACACACCATGTTCTTGGGGAGTTTTCTGGGAACGTGATTATCACAGTCACCGGGCAAGGAAGGGGAGACGAGGCGGACGGTTTGCGCCGCCCCACCAGACACCTTCACTCAGCACTGCGCTTTGTCGTGGCCTTTCTAGCCCTTGCCGTTCTGGAGTCGAAACCATGCGTCTCCCCCGCTTCTGTGCCAGATTTCCCTGCTTGCGGGCCCCACAGCGGCCCCAGGAGTGCCCCAGACGGCCCTTTATAGTCAACGATTGCACCCTCCCCCGAGGGGGCCCCTCCCGTAGGGAGGGGTCGGGACCCCAGGGCCCTCCTGGCGTAGGCGGGGAACGCTGGGCCCGAGGAGCGAAAAGCCTTCGCTTTTCTGGGACGGCCCACATAAGCGGGGTCCCCTTCCCAGGGGGGGCGGCCAGGTCCCGGGGCCTCCCCAAGGGCTGCGCAGGGATTCTCCCCCTACGTTCGCCGCCTTGGGGCGGGACTGGCTGTCCGTCTTCCCTGTCGTGTCGTCGTTCGTCGTCGTCTTCGACGCCGTCGTGTCGTCGGCCCCTGGGTCCGTTTCTCCGGTTTTTGCCCGTGTCCCGTGGGTGTGTGGGTGGCCCTGCCCGTTCGGCTCTCCCCTTTCGTGGGGGCGTTTTCCGTTCGGGCGACGCTCCCGCCTGCCTGTGGGGCGCGGCCCTTTTCCCCGTCTTGCACGGGCGGGCTCGCCCGCCGCCCGCGCGGGCGGGGCGCCGCGGCCGAGCCGCGCGGCCGTGTTCGACACGGCGTGGGCTGCCGCGCTGTGGAGAAAACAAAGAAAACGTCAACGGTGACACCCTAGAAGTAGCCCCCAAAAGGCCCCTGCGCTGCTTCCGTCAGCATTCGACAGGCTGTCGACGCACGATCCAGGAGCGGCGGCGGGATGGATCGAAACCCGATCCCGTCTGTGTCGTGAGCCCCCCGCGTTCATTTTCATCCTGCTTCGTTTGCGTTTGCCCTTGCCACCTCCAGCTTTTTTTGCCTTGCTACTTACCTCGTATTTCCTCCATCTCGTTTCCACGCTCGACCTCCTTGCCGACCTCCCAACATTTGTCGACTGATTCCGCTGGGCCGTCTTGCAGAATTTGTGGCCTGACTTGGAATGATTCGCGGCGACAGTCATGTTCCCGGAGGGCTTGCCGGGAACACGATGGTTTCCGCGAGGCGAGGGAGAGAGCAGGAGCGCGAAGGCAGAGCGCACAGGTGAGGATGAGGAGAAAGAGGACGAGGGGGGGAGGCAGACAAAAGTAGGGCGACGGGGGAGGGAGGAGGAGGAAGAGGAGGAGGATAAGGATGATGATGGGAAGGAGGAGCAGGAGGAGGAGGAGGAGGAGGAGGAGGAGGAGGAGGAGGAGGAAGGTTGCCGGGCACGTTCCACCCCCACCCACCATGTTGACGGCATCGGCCCCCCCTGTGTGTGGTGTGGTGCTGTGGGTGTGGCGTGTGTGGCGTAGTACATCGTGCTCCAGTAGAGCTCTGGAGGTCGTCGTCGTCGCCGCCGCCGCCGTCGTCGTCGTCGGCGGGCTCCGGAGGTCGCCGCCGCCGCCGCCCGCCGCCGCCGCCGTCGTCGTCGTCGCCGTCGTTGTCGTCAACATCGTTGTCGCCGTCCGCCGTCGTCGTCGTCGTCGCCGTCGTCGCCGAGGCCGTTTTCGTCGTCGTCGTCGTCCCCCCCCATCCCATCACGGTGGGGGGTGGAGGGTTGGGCCCAAAGCCTGTTGACAACGACTGCGCAGTCGGCGAGGACCCAACCGCTCGCGTAGCGCGCGTGTTTCTAGTATATATATATATATACACATATATACACATATACATATATATATATGCCCTTCGAACCCCGCATTTTATTATCCCCACCTCACGACTTCCAGGGGCATTCGGTTGTTCTCGTCCTATCATCGGGCCCCCCCTGGGGTTCTGTCACGACCGACCCGCGGCATTCCTCCCCACCACCTACAGGACATCGACTCGTGCCAGTCGGGCCGCGTGAGCCGCAAGTGGAGCACCGCCAGCACCCAGTGCCCGTCGTCCCCGGGCGCCTCTCCTGCTACCGCGTGGGGAGGGGGGGGACGAGGAACGGAGGGAGCAGCGTCAGGAGCAGCAAGACGTCCGAGCAGGAGGTCCTGGCTGGAGCGCGTTGCCAGTTTTTGTTAGGCTTCCCGAGCGTGGCCAGGTCTCAGCATCGTCGAACCAATCCCCATCCAGCCTCATTAGCCATTCCTCCCAGGTGACAAACACGGTGCCGAATTATTATGTAGGCGTTTCAGGCCCGCGGCGATTTCTCAAGGAATGTCATAGTGGGGTTCTACGTTCGGTCGCCAGCTGGTTGTCCGCCAGCATTAACTAAATATTATGCGATATTGTGTGGGCCATGTTCTCAGCTGGATCATCACCAGAGGGCGAGGTGTTGGTACGCAGGCGACCGTACGATGCTACAGCGATTGCGTGCGTCGACGATGCCAATCCTGGACCCAGAGTTAGTGCACATGCTTTCGAAAACTGGTAGGACTTCGGCGATCGACGTTCTATCACTACCCTGGCTGAGGCACACTGCTCTAGACGGCGCGGGGACATGTGTCTGTATAAAGTTTGTGTTCTCCACAGTCTCGGTTTCTTATCCGCGCCGTTCGCCCTAGCCCATTGGGGAGTTGTTGCAGGAGCGGTGGTGCGGAGAATATGTGAGCTTAGGAGCTGGCGAAAAGCTTGAGAAACGATCAACTTACTCGCCGCTGAACACTTCCGGATCTCCCTGGAAAGCCCCCCCCGCTCTTCAGAGCATTCGTCAGGAGGCAGCAGAGAGCTCCTGAATGGAACGAGAAGCTGGCAGCCCACGAGGCTTCTCCGAGGAGGGCCCACGCGAGCCTCGACCGAGGGAGGCGGGTGCCGCGCGCACCGAAGCGCCTGCCCCAGCACCACCACTTTACTATCGATCTCTCTAACTTGATTTCACGATCGATCTCATTATCAATCTCACTATCAATCTCACGATCGATCTCACGAGACACCACGGGAGACACTACGGGACACCTTGAGACACCACGAGACACCACGGAACACCGCGGGACAACACGGGAAACCACTGGACATCCTGGGACACCATCGGGACATTATCGGGACATCACGGCGGGACAACGCGGGGCATCACGGGACACCACGGGACATTATCGACACACCAACAGGACACCATGAGGACTCCAATCGGGACACCCCGGGCTCGGACGCCGCCGGCTACACGTAAGAGTGACACTTCGCCAGAGTGACTTCCGGTGGGGGGGGGCAGACTGAGTCAGATCATCAGATGTTTGCGACCCAGCGGGGGCGTTCAAGGCTGAACGTTGCGGGTGGCTGGGAGCTGGCCGATGTAGAGGGAGCCGCGCTCGCGCAAGGCCGCGATTGCTGAAGGTTGCGCGATCCACGCGGTAACAGAAGCCAGCGCCGACGTCGTCACAACGTGTTGACTTGGAAGGGGGGGTGGTGCGAAGTCGCTGCATGCAGCGGGTTTCGGCCCCCCCGCCAGGCGCGTTCGTCGATGCATGGCCGCCTTTGCAGCAGGGCTGGTGCTGGGAAAGCCACTTGCGTGAGCTGATGCGCGCACCCCTCTCTGCCGCCCCCCTCGCCTCGTCCGCCCCGGCCCGGGCGCTCAGGCCGCCTGCCGCACCGCGCGCAGCTATCGGCAGACATGGAACGCCGCCAGCGACCTGTTCTGCAACGGCTCATCGCTCTCAAGGTTGAACGATCCCCGCGGTGTCAGGACCCAACGCCAGGATCGACACGGCACGAACCTGCGGAATCCGATTCCGAAGGCACCAGGAGCGCCTCCGAGGAGGAGGGCGCTTGTTCGCTGGCCCCTGGCCAGAGAGGGTGGGCCCGCTCCCCGCGCGCTTGTGCATGCGCGCCGAGTGCTTGCGGCGCGCGCACGGGGGCAGCGCGGGAGGGGGGCCTTTGAAGAAGTGGGCGGGGGTCTCAGATGCGCGTCTTGTGTGAGAGTCATTTCAAGTATGAGTTGTTGTCTTCCCTAACTATTCACGTTTGCCACTGCGGCGCATTAGTGGTCGCTAGTAGACGCCAATAGACACGAATAGGTGCTAATAGGCGCTAGTAGGGAAAGTGGTAGACACTAATAGGTGCTAATAGGGCGGAGCCTGTCTTGAACATCCTTTTCCACACACTACACCTAAGGGGCCGTCTTAGAAGGAAGGGGCCTTCTTTGAAGAGTCCGAAGGAATTTAGGAAGCATCCTCAGAAGCCAGAAGGGCTTCTGAGAATGCCACTGCCTTTTGAGAAGCGCCGCTATCATAGCTGGCCGCCCTTCCCCCACGCCACCCCCTTGTGCGCGCCGCCAACGTGATTTCATGAATCCGCGGCCCCAGAGGTCCCAGCCGCCTCCCTGGCTGGGGGCAGTTTTTCGTCCCAGTTCCATCATTGATGGCCCGTGGGCCCGACAACCGGCCCTGGAAGCCACCATCGAGGGAAACCGTCGGGATTGAAACAATCAGATCGCCGGAGATTATCGATTTGGATGAAAAGTCGACACTTGGACCCTTCCCGGCGTGCTATCTGACCAGAGTTGCAAGGCGGGTCCGACCGTGGCCACGAGGGCGAGGGCGCCCCAGGGCGACCAACACGCTAAAAAAAGCGAGCCTCACAAGCCTCCATCCCCGACGCTGGGATCCGTCCATGGCGACGACTGTCGTGGTTGCCACGAGCCGGCGGCGCCCCAGAGGGGGTGGCGCGAGGGGGGGCGGCCCTCTGAGGAGGCGCGAGGGGCTCCTTGCAGGGCAGAGGCCTCCTTGGCAGGGCCTGGCGGCTTCGAGGGCGCCTTCTCGGAAGCCGCCGGGCTCTTCTGAGGAGCCCCTCCGCCTCTCACAGGGCCGCCCCCCCTCGCGCTGCCCCCTCTGACCACTTGGGGCGCCGGCGCCGGAGAGCCCCCTCCCCCAGCGGCGAGGCTCGCGCGCTCACACGCCGCCGCCCCTGGAGTGCGTGAGCCTCGTGCTCGGGCCGGAGAAGCCCGCTGGAGAGGCCCAGCGGCCCTCGCCCGGCGCTCGGGGACGCCCTCGAGGTAATTCTTGTTATCCTCTGGCGCGAAGCGGTCGTTACCGGGGCCAGGCTTCCTTCGCCAGCGATGTTCGTGTTCAATTTGTTCACGCAGGGCGTTTTGGCTCGGTTTCGGGCCCCGCCCTGGGACCACCGCAGATCGATCCGGATGTATCAATGCAGCACACAGATAGCGTCTAGGGTTTCGGTCGTGATGTTTCACGATGCCTCATTTTGTTGGCAGCGCCGTATCTCAGGAACATGGTTTCTCATTCTCTGACGCGTAACGATTGTTAGCCCGCCTCCCCCCCTCAGGTAACGGTACCGATCCTACGCACTCGGGGGCCTGGAGCCATGCTGGTGTTTGCGCGCGTACCATTGCAATCGTCGCAGCGCACCCCCGCTCACCCCTTTGGTATCGACTGTTCCGGCAATAGAAGCCTATATCATTGCGGTTGGAGGAGAAGGGGGGGTGGGGTTACGAGGAGGGAGTTTCGGGCTCGAGGTTCGAGATCTTCGGGCGTTGTCGTTGGCTCCCGGTTGTTTTCCACCGTCGGTTCTAGGCGAATTTCACAGAGGGCGTTCTCGCATGGGCGCTTGACACGCTCCAGTGCCGAGGTTCACGCAACCCCACATCTTCTCGTCGTGAAAAATACGACGGTCGGTATTTTTTCAAATGTCGGTTTCCAGGGGCCCTCGCCAGGGCCAGGACCGTCAAGAAAGTGCTCCCGTGTGTCATCACGAACGTATACCTTCGCACTCTGCCCGGTGCCTGTGGCCATTTGGCTTCGGAAGTTCGGCCGATTTGGAAGAACGGTTGGGCGCAGATGCTGGCCCTCGGGCTGTGCGCCCTCGACGCCGCGTGGCGACGGCGTCGGGTCAGCAATGTGTTGCATGAGTATGATATCCTCAGCCAGCGCCTCGCGCTGCAGGCGGAGGAGGCCGAGTTCGAGGGAACTCTTGTGCAGGTGGCAGAGGGCGCGGACCTCAGCGTTGAGGCGGCGCGGCGGCCACTGAGGGATTTCGTGGACCAGGCAATGGCCGAAGAGCCTTCGCAGAAACGTGTGAGGGCGTTCCATGGCTACTCTGCGCGGGCCATGTTTGAGGACGCCACGGCGTCCCTCAGGTTGGCGGGTTGCCGAGACGCGTCCGAGGCCCCACCGCCGCCGGGGGCCCGTGCGATGGTGGGGACTTGCTTCGCTCGGAGGTGCCGCGCGGCCGTTGAGGAGAGCCGTCGCGGACTGGAAGCGCAGGAGCGGGTTCAGTGGAGGCCCTGCTGGACCGCGCTGTTCGAGGAGATGGAAGCGCCTTCTTTCGAGACGGCGCGATCCCGCGCGGACCCGGAGAGGGCGAAACACGGCATCGCGGACAGCACGCGCATCAACACGTTGAGGTCGCACGTGCGGGCCACGAGGAGGATGCGCAGGTGGCTATTGCCGGCGCGCGGGGTCCCGTGGCTTGTGACGATCTTGCACTTCATCGACTACGCGCATGCCAGGGCAGCTGAAACGCGTGGGCCTTCGGTGCCCAATTTGGCCCTGCGTGACATGGCGTTGGCGGAGTGCGTGGCAGGCTTCGACCCGGGCGACATATTCTCCACTCGACCAAAAGCACAGCAGGGCGTCACGAACGTGGACATGCTCCTCGGCGTGGGCCAGGGACCGACGACGAGGGCGGCGCGATTTCTTCGGCCTCCCCCCAACATGCTTATCTTATGTGTCGGTCGCCCCCCCAGGGGCGACGCGCGCACCGAGAAATCTTACAGTATCTATCGGAGTGAGGGGGCTGAACCGAGCGGTCATTCACTGTCCTTGGGTGCGTGGCTGAAGTGGAACCCGGCGATGCGGATTATTAGTATTATTATTGTTATTATTATTATTGTTGTTGTTGTTGTTGTTGGTGTTGTTGTTGTGTTGTTATTGTTTGTTGTTTGGTGTTTGTTTGTTTGTTTGTTTGTTTGTTTGTTGGTGGTGTTGTTGTTGTTGTTGTTGTTGGTGGTGGTGGTTGTTGTTGGTTGTTGTTGGTTGCTTGTTGCTTGTTGCTTGTTGTGTGGTGTTTGTTGTTTGTTGTTTGTTGTTTGTTGTTTGTTGTTTGTTGTTTGTTTGTTATGTGTTGTTTGTTGTTTGTTGCTGTCGTCGTCCCACCCGCGACCCGCCCCGCGACCCACCCGCGACCCACCCCGCGACCCACCCGCGACCAACCCGCGGTTCACCCCCCCGGCGACCCACCCGCGACCCAAGCCCGCGACCCACCCGCGACCCACCCCGCGACCCACTCGCGACCCACCGGCGACCCAACCGCGACCCACCCGCGACCCACCCCGCGACCCACCCGCGACCCACCTGCGACCCACCCGCGACCCACCCCGCGACCCACCAAAAATTTTCGGCGCTTGCGTCGGGTTTCTTTTGCATTCGTTCCAAATCGAGAACCTGCGACCCACCCGCGACCCAAACCGCGCCCGCGACCCACCCGCGACCCACCCGGCGACCCACCCAAAATTTTCGGCGCCTGCGGCGGTTTTTTTTTGTGTTTGCATTCGTTCCACATTGAAAACTTGCGACCCACCCGCGACCCAAACCGCGTCCAGTGTACAAGTCAAAATTGTTGACGCTTCGCGTATCCCCACCAGCCCATCCAGAAACGATGCTCAGGGGAGTTGAGGTGATCAGGGAAGTCGGGGAGCATGCAGAATAACAAAGGGCGGGGGAAGCTGTCACAGACCCCGAGAGGGGGAGGATGGAAGAGGAGTCGTCGTCGTCGTCGTCGTCGGAGGAGGAGGAGGAGGAGGAGGAGGGGGAAGAGGAGGAGGAGGAGGAGGAGGAGGAGGACGGAGAAGGAGGAAGAATCGGAGGAGGAGGAGGAGGAGGGGAAGGAGCTTCTTGGGGGTCTTTTGAGGGCCTCTTGGAGGGCTTTTTGGGCGCCTTGGGGCATCTTGGGCGCCTCTTGGGACCCTCTTGAGGCGCTCTGGGGAGCCTTCGGGGCGCTTTTGGGGCCATCTTGGAGGGAGTCGATCAAACAAGAGGGGGGGTTTAATTAGCGTCCCCCCTCGGAAGCCCCTAAAATCGCCTCTTGGACCCCTCTTGGAACGCTCTTGGAGTGCTCTTGGGCGCTCTTGGGGCCGTCTTGGGGCTCTTTTGGGGCTCTCTTGGGGCCCTCTTGGGCCATCTTGGAGCCATCTCCAGGCCTCGGATGGCCATCGGAAGCGAAAAGGCGAGAAAGCAAAAATCATTGATTTTCCTTAGGTTTTGGGACGATTTTGGCCTCTTCGGGGCCTCCTTGGGGAGCTGTTTGGCCACTTGGAGTTATCTTGGGGCCGTCTTTGGGCTTCTTGGAACCATCTTAGGAGCCATCGTGAGCGATCTTGCGCTATCTTGAGCCATCTTGGAGCTCATCTTGGGTTCTCTGAGGCGCTCTTGGAGCCGTCTTGGGCCATCTTGGACGCTCTAACTACCCGCGGCCCCCCCCGTCCAGGTCCAGGGGAGGGGGTAGGGGGAGGGGTAAACCCCTCCCCAAGGGGGAAGAGGGAGGGGTGGAAGAGGATCTGCTCTAGACCACCTACGCCCAGAGGGCTGGTGGGATTTTCGGCGCCTGCGGCGGGCCGTTCTTAATTCCTTCCAGGTGGGGGTGGAGAACCCGCGACACACCCGCGACCCAAACTACGTTCACTGAACAAGCCAAAATTTCGGCGGCTGCGTCGTTTTTTTTTTTTGCACTCGTTCCAGGTGGAGAACCTGCCACCCAAACCGCGTTCAGTGTACAAATCAAAATTTTCGGCGCCTGCGGCGGGCTGTTTTCGAATTTTTTCCAGGTGGAGGTGGAGAGCCCACGATTCACCCGCGACCCAAACTACGTTCAGTGAACAAACCAAAATTCGGCGCCTGCGGCGTGCTGTTTTTGCATTCGTTCCGGGCGGCCCACCACCGATCCCCCCCGCGCTGAATTTGCCAGAGCTCGGAAATCGGCGCCTGCGGCGGGCTTGCTCGTTTCGTCGTCGTCGTCGTCGTCGTCGTCGTCGTTGTCGTCGTCATCGTCGTCGTCGTTGTCGCTGTCGCCGCCGCCGCCGCCGCCGCCGCGGCCGCGGCCGCCGCCGTCGCCGTCGTCGTCGCCGCCGCCGTCGCCGTCGCCGTCGCCGCCCCGTCCCACCCCCCGGCGCCCGCGCGCGCTCCGCGGTGGACGGGAGGAGGAGCAGGGCGAGGAGCAGGAGGAGGAAAACGACGGCGACGACGACGAGTACGAGTACGAGGACGAAGAGGAGGCCGACGACGAGGGCGTGGAGGAAAAGGAGGGGGGGACGGAGGGGGACCGACCGAGAAAAAAGAGGAAGGAGGAGGAGGGAGGAAAGACGACGACGACGGAAAGGACGGGGGAGGATCGGGATGGGGGAGGAGGAGGAGAGGAGGAATGAGGAGGAGGAGGGGGAGGACGAGGAGACGACGACGCTACGACGATGAGACGATGAGGACGAGGAGGAGGAGGAGGAGGAGGAGGGAGGAGGGAGGAGGAGGAGTGGAGGAGGAGGAGGAGGAGGGCGCCACCGACAGGGAAGGTGAGGACCACGAGGTCCGCCAGCTCGTCGCCCGCGTCGCCCGCGCCCGCCCCCCCACGCTTATCCGCAACTGCGGGGTGCTATACATCATATGCGTCATGGCGGGCACTTTATGGCCACACCGCTCGGAAAAACGATATACTACAATATGGGTATACGATGTATGTATATATAAATGTATGTATGTACCTATGTATGGACGTATATATATATATATATATATATATATATATGTGTGGGTGTGTTCGGGTCGGACGCGCGCCTCCAAGGCGGACGTACAGTATTAGTATGCCTCTGCGCGTCCCACTTCCCAGCGTTCATCGAGGCCTCGGATCGGCTGGTCATGGATGATGATCCCGCGCCGTATTTACGCGGGGTGGCGTGGGTCCGCTTTGTCACGGCGTGCGCGGGCGAGGACGTCGAGCTCTTCGCATCA